GCTCCAAGGAATTGAGTATAGTCATTCTCAAGTTTGGCTGCTGTGCTAGAATCTGCTAGGTAGATTCTGACTTAATTGTTCTGAGGTGGGACCCCAGCAACATTTTGAAAACTCCCCAGGGGGGTCTAATGTGCAGCTCCAATTGCAAGCCATTGTTAATGCAGTTAGTTTGCTGTCGCTTTGAGTCAGGGATTGCAGTACATGCCTCAGTACTTCCAAAATGTGCATACAAATCACCCGGGGATCACATTTTAAATACAGAATCAGGAAGTCTGGGGTGGAGCTTGAGATTCTACATGTCTGTCTAATAAGCTTGCAGCTCATGCTGTGGCTGCTGGTCCCCACATCACACTTGAGTGGCTTGAGTTTGTTATTTAAAGTGCAAAGCACTGGCCCGTACCAGTCCATGAGAGTCAGTAAGCCATGGTCCTACTCTCTGGCAGAATTTGCTTAGTGTGCTAGAAAGAATACTCAGGTCAAGAGATCCGCTTTCTCCACTTCCTGCTCTGTCTCCAACTAATTAGCGGTAAGACAAGTTTCTTAGAAGTGCTTTACTCCTTCACCCTCTTATCTTTAAAATGAGAGGCTTGAATTGGATAAACTCGAAGCTCCCCTTTGTTATTACATCCTCACATGCTTGTCCAGGGTGTTTTCATACACTGTCTGCATCAGGTTTTTATGTGGAATGGAATCTGGTTCCTATAAAGATCTTGTCATCCCTTAGAGGCTGGGGGCCTACGCCCTGAGCTTATGATCTACTGGGAGAAATAAAACTAACAAATGTTAAAAAATTAAAGAAGAGTTAAATGTTGAAGTGTAAGCTATGATAAGTACAAAAAGGATGCAGGGAAGCAAGAGAGGAGTGTTAGTTGGAATGGTCTGGAAAACTTCATTGCCAAGCGGGGATTTGAGTTAACATTGTTTACTGGGCTAGATGGACTACGGGGCTGACAGAGAGTTGCAGTTCTCATGCTTTTGTGTTTGTCTCTAAAAAAGCATCTTCAACAGAGGAGAACAAGACATATTTTTCTACCTTAAATTAAAACAAAGTAGGAGAAAGACCTAGTTTTGTGGAAGTGTTTAAAGGGAAATCAAAATCCAAAAAACTCTATATTTAATTTTTCAAGGCTAATCTTGACTGAAAAGATTGATATTGAAAAAAATCACTAGTACCAAATATAGAGCAAAAACCCAGTGTACTTCCCTATAGATAATAATAAATGCTATTAGAAATTACCTGAAATGTAAGTAAAAATTCCTTACATTATAAGTAATATTGAAAGTGACATATCTCTTTATCTTAACTCATTGGGAAAGAGGCCAGATAATATATTTAGATTTTATAACATAGGTGCACAGGAATTTTTGACTCATCTCTTTTAATGTCAAAGGAGATGTATTTTGCATTGTAATTAGAATTTTACTAAACGTTATGTTCCCTTAAGAGGAGGTTGTATGACCAGGGCTCAGATATAGGAAAATACAAAATAGAGCAGTTACCCTCATTTAATGAGTTATATTTAGTGCACACAATGCAGCTTTGTGTTCTCAGAATATCCTGAGAGTTTTGGTTTTTATCTCTATGGCTAGATCATTTTGAAATTGCAGACTTTGAGTAATTTTTCTCACAAACACCTGCTATTATAGTTTTACTGTATAGTCATGCTGCATAATAACATTTCAGTCAAAGACAGACCACATATACAGTGTTCCCATAAGATTATAATACTGCATTTTTACAGTACCTTTTCTTTGTTCAAACATGCTTAGATACACAAATACTTATCATTTTGTTACAGTTGTCTGCAATTAGTACAGTAACATGCTGTACAGGTTTGCAGCCTAGGAGCAAGCAACTATGTCATATAGCCTAGGTACGTAGGAGGCTATACCATTCAGGTTTGTGTAAGCACAGTCTATGATGTTGTACCATGACAGAATAGCTCAATGACGTGTTTCTCAAAAGGTATTCCTGCCATTAGGTGATGCATAACTGTGTATGGTAAATCTTTTATATAATCAACTGTTGATTATCACAGTGAGATTGATGATACAATACAATAGGAATCTTCTATTTTTAAACTATTAAACACAATTTATGTTACTTAAGAGCAAAATTATTTTGGTTGCAAGTGACATAAAACCCAACCTATTGGGTGAAGCCAAGAAGGGACTTTTTGGGGTCATATAATTGAAAAGTTGAGGTAGAACTAGTTTCAGATATGGTTGGTGTAAATAACCTAGTCAGAATCTGGTTTCTTTGCATCTCATGGTCTTGCTTTCCTCTGAGTTGCAAAGCAGACTTTGTTTAATTACCTGGTGGCTGCCAGTTGGTTTATTTTATTTTAATTTTTGGTCTGTGTGGTTCAAACCTTGTGGAAAAGAGAACAGCCACCTTTCCCAAACTCCCCAAACCAAATCCTGAATTGTATCCCATTGGCTGTGATTGTAGATAATTTGTCCTTCAGAGTCTCTGGGGCCAGCAGTACTGATTGGCAAGATTGGAGTCCTGTGTCTATCCCTGGAGCTGTAATTAGAGGAACAGTAGCCAATGTTCCTCTAAGGAATCATTGCTTTCAAAATCAGGGAATGGTTCCTTAAAGGAGCAATGACTACTGCTCCAAAAGAAGGAATAATAGATAGATGTTTGATGTGAAACAGTGGCAATGTCAACGGTCAGTACATATATGTTTCTCAGTTTAAGCCAATGTTAAATTTACATTTTTCTGAATACAAAGGTTTCAATGGTAGAAGACCGTCACAGGGTCTGCTTTGTGGTCGGATAGTGTAGAGCTGGAATTTAAAACAGTAATTCCATCTACACAATGGATATCCTTAATTAAATAATTAAAAATTACAGTATTGGATATCTGTTGGTCTACTTTACAGGCAGGAATGTTATTAAAAATATTTAAGAACCTGTGACAGAGGCATCAACCAATCAGAATGAGCTGGATCCAACCAATCAAAACTAGTGCTGACAACAACCAACCAGTGCAGCCACTTGAGTGAGGGCTGGCAGTTTGTCAGCACAACTTACTGGGAGGCATTGTTAAGGTGCTGCCAAGTCTCTTAAAAAATAGAGTTACTGTTTTAGTTTCCTAGGAACGTCATAATGAAATACCACAAGCTGGAAGACTTAAAGTAGCAGAAATTTATTGTCTCACAGTTCTGGAGGTTAGAAGTCTGAAATCAAGTTGTTGGCAGGGACCTGCTCCCACCTAAGGCTCTAGGGAAGGAGCATTCCTTACTGCTTCTAGTCTTCAGTGGCCGATGGCAATCCTTAGCGTTCTTTAGCTCGTAGATGGACCTCTCCAGTCTTTATCTTCACATGGCTTTTTTCCTGTTTGTGTCACTGCATCCACATTTCCCTCTTCTTATAGGAAGATTAAGTAACCCCTTAGTCCTTAGTTAGTATTATTTTAATTCTGTTAAAATATAAATGTTGGTGGGACAATTTGGTGGGGAATTAGTATTTATTGGCATGGATGTTTGTGCTTGGTGAGGTATTATATTCTTATACATGACTTTATTGAATTCAAACAAGTGTTATCTTAAAAAAAAACAAAACAGAACTGGGCCAGGCGCGGTGGCTCACGCTTATATTCCCAGCACTTTGGGAGGCCGAGGCAGGTGGATCACGAAGTCAAGAGATCGAGACCATCCTGGTCAACATGGTGAAACCCCGTCTCTACTAAAAATACAAAAATTAGCTGGGCATGGTGTTGCACACCTGTAGTCCCAGCTACTTGGGAGGCTGAGGCAGGAGAATTGCTTGAACCCAGGAGGCGGAGATTGTGGTGAACCGAGATCGTGCCATTGTACTCCAGCCTGGGTAACAAGAGCAAAACTCCATCTCAAAAAAGAAAAACAAAACAAAACAAAAACAAACAAACAAAAAAACGGAACTGGCCACAGCTAGATGAAGATCATCCATCAGTGTATTTAAGAGCAAGTACAAGAAACAGGAGAAAAATACTAGTAAAGGGCTTGGAAGCCGTATCTTGTAAGGAATATTTGCAGATGGCAGTCATTTCTTCGTTCTCAGAACAGCTGTGTAGAAAAAGGATTAGACGGCTGGGCGCGGTGGCTCACGCCTGTAATCCCAGTACTTTAGGAGGCCGAGGCGGGTGGATCACGAGGTCAAGAGATCGAGACCATCCTGGTCAACATGGTGAAACCCCGTCTCTACTAAAAATACAAAAAATCAGCTGGGCGTGGTGGCGCATGCCTGTAATCCCAGCTACTCAGGAGGCAGGAGAATTGCCTGAACCCAGGATGCAGAGGTTGCGGTGAGCCGAGATTGTGCCATTGCACTCCAGCCTGGGTAACAAGAGTGAAACTCCGTCTCAAAAAAAAAAAAAAAAGAAAAGAAAAAGGATTAGACTTCAGAGGGCAGAACTAAGTAAGTTTAAGTTAAAGGAAGTGAAATACGGGACAAAATTTTCTTAATGTACAATGCACCAAAGGAGGTGGCTACTGTGTAAGGGAGTAGCAAGCACAGGTTCCTGGAGGTACACAGGCAGTTGCTGAGATGCATAATTACCTTTCTGGGACATTTTCATAGAGATCTTCCCTTGAGAAAGAAATTGAAATGGAAGCTCTCTTCCAGCTTCGAGATCTATTGCAGGTCCTAAAATTGTTCTTTATGTGTATGCCATGAAAATCAATATTAATTATGTGACAAGCTATTTCTATAAGCTGAAGTTTTGTTCTGTGATCTTGGTGCTATGGACTAGTCAGGATAAAAAGGGGGAAGGTTTAATCTTGGAGGGGGGAAACATCTTTAATAAATAAGAAAGGTAGGAGAATAAAACATGCATTTATTGAGACCTACTATGTGCAGGATGTTGGACTAGTCTTTTTATCCATATAGTCTCATCTCATTTGGTACATTTAGTTTTTCACTGATCAGTTTGGAACTTATGGGAAGTGGTTCTTAAAATGATGAATTCTTAAAATAATTGGGGTTTTATATATTTTTTGGTGATGAAACACAGGACTGTTCTGATGGCTACATGTGCAAAATACACTTTCAAATTAAGAATGAGCCTGTGATGTCACATCCAGAGACATTTACTCATGGACAGACTTGTCTTCCCATGGAGGTAAGTAGTTTAATGTGTCATGTTCTTCTTTTCAGTCTCTGTAAAGTATACATTTAAACATTTAATTCTTGTTAAGTAAATATTTTAAAAACTTTAAACTACTTCCCATTGGATTCTGGGCCTATTATAGGGGAAGAAGGAGGTATTTTCCTTTGTAATACTGAAAGCAAGAATTGTGGTAAAGTTATATAAGATCCACTCTGACTCCAGATTGTAGTGAGCCATCATTCTTTTGGTTTCTGTTGGATCTGAATACCACAGATGACTTCTATTATCTACTGATTTTTTTTTTTTTCCCAAGTAAAATTCCCTGAAGATAATACAGCCCTAGCTTCAGGCTGCATAATACTTGATTGGAGACCTCTTTGCCTGCTCTGCCTATAGCCCTTTTTCCCTTGAAAATATGCTGGATCTGGGTCTTATTCCTTAGGGGACTTTAACCTTGAATTGAAAATCTTGCTGAACCAAATTTTATTATGGTACTAATGATTGAGTGGTTTTCTGAGATATTTTCAGTTTTCTTTTTATTGAAATGCAAATAGCCTTATTGTATTTCTTGTGAAAAAATTGTGTATAACCATTTTAAAAATAAATAATAGAGAAATACATAAAAAGGATTTAAAAATGTCCCATATGTCCTTCAATAAGTTACCACTGTTAACATTTTAGTAAGTATCCTTTCACATATTTCTATCGTATACACACACATATGTACTTGTTTTTTTTTGTTGTTGTTGTTTGCAATGAACAGGTATATCATGGACATCTTTCCATGTCAGTAAATGCAGAATTCCATAGTTCTTTTTAATGACTCCATTGCATTCTATCCTGTGGAAGTACCACAATTATATGGTACTCATATTGAAATAAAATACTTGAATTTTGAAAGAGGATTGGTGATGACCGAATTATTTCAGCACAAAAGAAGAAATCACTAGTGCTTTTATTCTGAGCATCCTGGGAAAATGAAAGAGGTGACTCTTTTTTGTCCAGGAAGAACTCTTTCTCAGAACATGTTAAATCAGGACCATTTGGCAATCAGACATCAGTCCCCTTGCCCATATGTGATGCTAGCCTGAAGGTAACTTTCACCTTTATAATTTGGTTTGGAAGTTATTCTTGAGAGTATTGTGCTTGGTAATAAGCTAAGTACCCCCAGATGGATGCTTGAATCTTGATTACTGCTTCGTGGTTCCAATAACCAACATCAAATCTGAAGCCAAGCATATTAGGAAGCTTTTCAATTCATTATATATTAACTTAAAAAATGTTTTAAAAATTAACATAGAAATGATGATTTAAAAAATCCATTACTAGTTTTTGCCTAACAAGTTGGCAGAGATTTGAAAAGCACTAAAAAGTGGTGTTGACAGTGTGAGGGAACTGACACTTTCTGGTTGATGTTTTAACTTCACAAAGTTTAGAGATGTGCACATACTATGAATAATCTATTCCAATTCTAGGAATTTAGCTCATAAAATATAATTTTTTTCAACATTTTTCATTTCCAACATTTTCCAATAAATTTGAAACATATGGAAAAGTTGAAAGAATTTTGCCGTGAATATCTATATGCTTACCACCTAAAGTCTATCATTAACATTTTGCTGTGCTTGCTTTATTATATGTTGATCCCTCTATCAGTACATCTTATTTTTTTGATGCAATAATTTTAATCAAAATAAATTACACACAAATACTCAAAATACTTGAATACACAAAGATTTACCTGCAAGTATATTCATCTCAACCTTACTTATAATAGGAAAAATGAAAACAATAGAAATATACAATAATAATGGATTGGTTAATTACGGCACATCCCTAGATGGATGCAGTCATTAAAAGTGATATTCTAGGTGACTTTTTAGTTATACAGGTTAAATGTTCATGTTGGCCGGGTGCGGTGGCTCAACGCCTGTAATCCAGCTCTTTGAGAGGCCAAGGCAGGTGGATCACCTGAGCTTAGGAATTTAAGACCAACCTAGGCAACATGGTGAAATCCTGTCTCTACTAAAAATACAGAAATTTAGCCAGGTGTGGTGGCATGCACCTGTGGTCCCAGCTACTCAGGAGGCTGAGACAGGAGAACTGTTTGAGCCTGGGTGGTGGAGGTTGCAGTGAGCTGAGATCGTGCCATTGCACTCCAGCCTGGGTGATGGAGTGAGACCTTGTCTTGAAAAAGAGAAAAAACAAAAAAAAACAAAAAAAAAACAAAGTTCATGTTAAGTGAAAAAAATGGTAGATTACATGATATAAACAATAGAATCCAAGTATGATTAACATTCTTCAAACTATCAGTTGACTATTACAATTTTAAATTATGATTCTTTTTAAAATTTATCTTTTCAAAGAGCGAAACCGTAACTCTTTGCTCTCACTCCCTTGAAATCCCTACAGTTACTTTTGCTTGGTCCAGTGATTTCATTTGGAGTCACTATCCATCCTTGTAAGCTTCCATTACTGCCATAGCTCAGGTAGGCATCCCTCTCTCGTTTTTTCTTCTAGATAAGAGCTGAAGATTTTAAAGTTTAGAACAAGACAACCCAGTACCCCATTTTTGTGTGTCTACCAGCTTCGCCCTCCTGCATAGCAGAAATAGTGATTGAAAAATCACATATACATATATAAATATTTAATATTCACATAGGGCCTAGAAATAATTTCCCCCCTTCCAATCAGATCAGATTTTCTTAGAAATTTTTTTTCTTTTTAGTTACATTTATTCTTGTTCTTTCTCTTCAGGAATTTGCCTTAAAAGCGTATGTCCTTTATCGCTCCTTCTTAGTACTCCTCAGACTCATGCTTGTTGTTTTAAAAGCCAGATTGGTTCCTTAGACTGTAAATCCCATGGAAGTAAGCCGACTCAGTGAGTATGTATTATTTGACCAAACCTTCAGTTTTAATTACCCATAGAACTAGGTCACTTAACAAATGAGATACCTCTGTATTTTGATATAAACTGGATTATCAAGTGAGTTACTTAGAATTGATTAAATTATATCTATGTATTATACATAATACATAGATACTACATATATATGTATTATATATACAATATATGTAGTATAGTATATTACAAAAAGCATGGGTATGTGTGTGTATATAGGTGTATATATGTGTGTGTGTATATATGTGTGTGTGTATATATACACACATACATATGCTTTTTGTATACATATATACACATATATGTATATACATATATGTATATATACACACATATATATACTTTTTGTATACACATATATACACACACATACATAAATATATATATACACACACATCCCATACTTTTTGTAATATGCCATACTACCTATATTGTATATATAGTACATACATACATACACACACACACACACACACACACATCCCCCTAAAATAACCCTAGGGATTTCAAGGGAGCGAGAGAAAAAAGTTATGGGTTTCACTCTTTGAAGAGATAAATTTTAAAAGTATTATAATTTAAAATTGTAATAGTCAATGGATAGTTTGAAGAATATTAATCATACTTGGATTCTATTGTTTATACAACATAATCTACATATATACACATATATATGTGTATATGTATATATGTGTGTATACATATATATACATATATGTGGAGACGTGGGTTTTGCTCTGTTGCCCAGGCTTGTCTCAAAGTCCTGGCTTCAAGTGATCCTCACTCCTCAGCTTCCTGTAGTGCTGAGATTACAGTCATGAGCCACTGTGCCCAGCCTGAATTCTAAAAGAGTTTAGTTTCTAGTAGAATAACATTTTTTTTTCCAACAATCAATTTACATAGAAAAATCAACAATGTTTAAAAAGAGATGTTTGCAGGGAGTTTTTAGTAGTTTGTGTTTCTGAGTTGTCACGGGAATTGAATCGGATGATAAACCCTTCATCCTCCAGTCAACTCCAGTGTTTTATTTTTAATTATTTGGCAACTCATGTAAATTTAGTCTGCCTAATTTACTCAGATTATAACAACAGCACAAGTACAAGAAAGAGTGGTAGATTTGGAGATAGAAATTGTTTTGTAGTTCTCTTAGCCTCTTACTAGTAAGGTAACCTTGAATAAACTTCAGTTTTCTCATTCAAATTGTGGGCCCTTCTTACTTCTTGTTTTGGTTAGTTGTAAGAAGCATGCAGTGCTATTACTAATACTAATAATGTCACACATACAATTATCTTTTTCTGGTTATCTCATAATTATGCAAGAAGACGTAGGATGTGAATGGAGAAACATGAAGGAACAGGAAGAGAGCAGAGACTGTAACACATCCTTTAAATGTTGGGAATAATGAGTAGCCTCCAAGTTGGAAACTAACCCTTATTTAGCCACCACCACCAGTTATTCCAGAGAGTGGAACAGAGACAATTGAGAGTGACTCTCACTAAAAATCAGTGGTAGACTAATTAGAGCATTTAAAACATTTCATTTGAACTACGTATATAACGCCTCACTTTCTAGATCAACATTGGACAGAAATGTATTTTCCTCTCAAGTTCTCTTTTTCTTCAACATATATTTATAACTTTTATTTAGTCAATAGTATGATTAGAGGTATGATGATTTGAATTATTTTAGTTTTTCATTTAAAAATACCTCAGATGGCTAGGTATAGTGGCTCACACCTGTGGTACCACCGCTTCTTTTGGTCAAAAGAGGAGGATCGCTTGAGTCCAGGAGTTTGAGATCAGCTTGCACAACAAAGTAAGACCCCATCTCTATAAAACTAGAAAAATTAGGCGGGCATGGTGGCATGCACCTGTAATCCTAGCTACTCTGGAGGCTGGGACAGACTTATTGCATAAGTCTGGGTATTTGAGGTTACAATCAGCTATGGTCACACTACTGCACTCTATCTAGTATGGGCAACAGAACAGGACTCTGTCTCAAAAAAACAAACAAACAAAACCCCCCAAAAACCCCAAATATCTCAGAATTAATATTTTATCTTAATAGATAGCACATTTGTGATATCAGTAGAAAATACTGTGACAATTTAAGT